TGCTAATGTTCTGTGACCTGGAGCTAATAAATAACATTTTTTTTCCAAAACAATCGAAAACACAATTATAATTTATAAATGACACTCCATTCAATTTTGTGCAACAACTACAGATCGCGAACCTCGACTAGACTTGCAGTCGGATATGCTGCAATTTAATGTCAACTTGCACTTTGAAATTTAATCACGGAGGACTAATGTTGCTCTCCACAACATCGGGGTTAATTTAAAAAATTTTAAGCGAAACAAAAAGGATTTTCCAATATCCTGCTTCTATAAATATTGCCGGAGAATGTATATCTATCGAGAAACGCGTTAACGTGAACAAATCGTGGTGAATTGAACGAGTTATGAATGCGGATCGTTAGTAGAGCCCTGAACCAACAAATTTTCAGCATAGAACTCTCGTATTCTTTTCGAAATTGTGTTAGCCTGCGGAAACTGCGCGGATCAGGATGAATAAAAGATGACGGTTGTCGGAAAGCTAGATAAAACTCCTCCTGAAAAAAGATGCGGCGAACTGTTCGGGGCAAAAACATTCCGACTATCTATAAGTCCGTTATCTTTTACGACGACCGATCCGTATAAGCTTCAGGGACGTCGGAATGAGGAAGATCAACTGATGGAAATAATAAGTTTTTGTATGCCAGTTACGGACTAGAGTTATGCAGTTTCAGAACTTTCTATGGAGATTATGCTAATACCCTAATACCCTAATTCTCGTGTTCCGGACCAGGTAGCGAGAATAAGATCTTCTAAGCGTGTCCGTTAATACATTAATGCGAGGTTTATAGCCGCGCGGAATTTTCTTATGTTGCAAGAAAAAGATCGTCTCACAATTCACTCTCTATTTACGTGGAGATCTTTTATTCAGGCGCATCCGCGTATTTGATAGCAGGGAATTATAGAAGGCGCGCTCCGAAATAATGAAGCAATTCTCATTCCGTAGGGCTTGCGAGGGACGTAAATGTGAAGGGTAAATCGCGCAAAAAAGTGTGTATCGAGTGGATCGAGGGACAAGTATATTTACGGTGCCGCAATCAATACTCTTTCTTTTTTTTTTTATTTCGAAATGTCGGCGGAGTCGGCAAACACGTGGTCTATAACTTTTGAAAGTTTAATCAGATAAATCCGGCGAATTCCCTTCATTCTGCCTCCGTCGGCATCGACCCGCATTTCGCGCTGTCATCGATATATCCCGTTTGATGCAATGTTTGTCGCGATGTCAAAATGCCATACGTGTCAACAAACGCAACGTTTGCCAGCGACGATGAGCAATCAACGCGAGGTCTTATTACCGCACGTCGCCGAATTGATCGGGAGGATATTCTCGCGTTTTAACCAGACGCTCCTCGATAGTCTTCGCGCGACGCGAACATTATATACGACACGCAAGAGAAATTATAGAAATCAGTGCCAGAGCAATGCCGATATCGCAGAGAATAACTTGATTCGCTTCGTAAAGCAAGCTTTTTCACAAAGCTTTTCGCGTCCATTTTAATGCGGGTTATAGAATTAATGAACTACATCGATTTATCGAATGGTGAACGAGCGAATAAAATCTTGAAAACTTACTTGGCTCATCACGCGTTACGTGGTACGATAATAATGCTACCCGTTCACAGCCATGCCCGGGGGAAAAAAAAAACTTGCATCCAATTTTATTTAATTGTATCAAAAGTATCAGATATGATAAAATTTAATCAAATTATATCCAAATTTTAATGCATCCATTTTATAAGTATATCAAATCAGATGTGGTCAGATATAGTCAGATAAAACGGAATAAACATCTGACTACATCCAACCACATATAATTTGATATACTTATACATGGATGCATTAAAATTTGGATATAATCTAATTAAATCTTGTCACATCTGACGTTATTTGATGCAATTAGATAAAATTGGATATATAGCTGTTTTCCCCGGGTAGGCAAAATTATTAGGCACCCACCTGATCATTATATTGCAAATCTAGTAGCGAATTTGGTTGCTTGCACTAGTTGCGCACTGAGTGCACACCAAGTCTGGTTTATAGTCAATTCTTATATTTAAAATCAAATAAACTTAATTTAGTGACTTATCTGGCATTTATTATATTGGTCACAACGACGTTTCGATCGCGAATTGCGATCCTCTTCAGGTTAAAATGTGTAGTTGACTAATGTGGAAGCATTCAGTCATATCTACAACTAACAGTGAATATCTCTTAAATTTATAGATTCCGGAATTATAACATAGTCCACATTAGTCAACTACGCATTTTAACATGAAGAGGATCGCAATTCGCGATCGAAACGTCGTTGTGACCAATATAATAAATGCCAGATAAGTCACTAAATTAAGTTTATTTGATTTTCAATACACTGGCAAAGAAAATTCCAATCTTATATTTAACTTTGTTTTAAATACACGTTCAAAGAGTATTTAGCAAAAAAAAGACCCGTATGGACGCTACACAGATCATTTTACTAGCTAAGAAATGTTTCAAGAGATATTTAAGACGATACAAACATTGATTGTAAACAAGCCTTAGTGTGCACTCACAATCAGTGCGCACTAGCGCACCCTCAGAGAGGATTTCTGTTACCAAGACAAAAATATTCTTTTATATTTTTCGCAACCGCATTTAGTATAAAAGTGAGATAATATCAAAATAAAATCAACAATCCTTATTCTCCTCTATCGAATTAAAAAGATTGACTTACCATATTGAGACAAGAGTAACTTTATACATGTATTCTTGCGTTTAGAATAAACTTTCCCTCCGTCTTACAACGCACGAAGTTCGCACCGCGATATTTATATTTATATTTATATTCGACAAAAGACGATACATAGTCTCATTTTATTCTAGATTTTAGAATTTTTCATTTAGGATTAAAATATTCCTTTCTCTATAACAAATATGATTGGCGCTATATCGATCCTATTTTATGATACATTGAGGTTTAATAGCATTGGATCCGGAAATTTTTTCTGTGGGTGTATAAGCAACCGACTTCGCTATAAGTGTATTACTTTTATACACGTATATGTGTAATTTAGTTTTTCTGTTTAAAATCGCGACTTTATAATCGTCGTTTCTTGCCGTTTAAAAATAATCTTTTCAAGTTGCAAGAAATAACGTAAAATAACGTATGTCAAGTCGCATGTTGTGATTTTAAACGGAGAGAAGCGTGTAAAAAGTGCTTCACCAAATTACACGTATGTGTGTATAAAAGTAACACACTTAGATTTCCAACGTACACTGTACTGAATCTAAAGCTAGCGCCACACTATGCGCGATTCGTAATACGTGATACGTGATTCGTAATTTGCAGAAATTCGTTAGACACTCGAGTTATTACTTACCACACTATTCGTGATTCGCAGTTTATTATTCGTAATTTGTTATTTGCCGTTTCGTTCGTGCTAATTTCGACAGCTTTTAATTTTTACCTGTTACTACAGGACCTGTATTGTAAGGCTGCAATTAGTCAGGTTTCAATAATAGTCAGAAAACCATTTTAACTAATACCAACACGATTTTTAACACAACGCGCTTAATACTAGGAAGATTTTTGTCGTTTTAAAGTTGTTTACTGCATAGAAGCAACGGACGCTTTATTAAACAATTTAAAAAAAAAGAGAGAAATTTTCCACGTATTAAATTCAGTACGGTACAACGATTAGGAGGATGTCTAATAGTTTTGTCAATGGCTGTACTTGGTACAGCTATTTATATGTATGTTATAGCTCGTACTTATCTCTTTACATGCAATATCATCATCAACTCCGCGACCTTAACAAAATCTCAGAAATACTCATTTAAAAGGAGAGACAGAAAGATTTAAAACGTTTTCTATTAATCTTTCAGATGTTAAATGCCTCTTCAGAATTTTTACATTTTTCCATTGTCACTTGGAATCTGCTATCACTTAATTTCGATCTTTCCTCTTTTACTCGATCTGAAGATCGCACTTGATGTTATAATATTACGTATTGAAAATCGTACGAAAGCTAAGCATAAAATGTTAATAAGATCGATCATTAAATTAGACTTGAATTTAAATGAAAAATGCCAAAGTTACATATACAGTGTCTACGTTTTCCATTACATGGATATAATAGACCAAGCATCCTTGCTTGCGCGGTATAGGGAAAGCACAAAGTGTAAACAACACCTTGCTTAAAATATTTCAAGCTGTTATTATTAACAGTATGCGTATATGCGCAGAAAAATTGATATAAGTATAGTTAGTCGTTTCCGTTCAAGTATATTGTCGAGTTATCGCGTGCACGGGGAGAATTTTCTCTTAAGATTCACCCTGAAAAGTCATGTAATCGTGGGACAACATCCCAGCAAGAACATCAACGTCGAATCGACGTCAATGGGGTCGAACCGCGTTCCAGCCGTCAGTTTTCGAAAATAATCAAGCCTTGGCTGTACCTTTTGTGTTAAATTACTACGTTCAACATTTTATGGGCGAGAACTGCCAAGTTAACTTAATTAATACAAAACTTATTATAAAAAAATGCAGTTCCAAAACTTGAATTATTTTCGAAAACTGACAGTTGGGACGCGATTTCGACTCCATCGACGTCGATTCGACGTTAGTGTTCTCACTGGGATTGGCATTTGGAACAACTGTATGAGAGTTTTTGCAATTTTATTCTACTAGTAAAATGTATACTAACAATAAGTGTAATATACTAGTAGAATGTATGGTAAAATTTTCATAAAATTCTCCGAAGTGCCACGTTGTCCCACGATTACATGATTTTCAGGATAAATTCGAGGAAAAGATTCTCTCCGCGAGCGAAGCTAGCGAAGACGCTTAGCGCGGCAAGTAATCGTGGAATATAAATCGTGATAGAAACGGCCCCGATTTCTCCCGATGGAAAAATCGCTATTATCCCTGGCCACGCGTGTTTACTTGCGGGGTAAACGGGAGAGACGCGCGAAAGGCGTCGCGTGGCGCGCAGAGAGGCTCAGACTCAAAGGGGTCTCACCTTTCGCGGTCGTGAGCTCCGACGGACCCGGCAGACCCAGGGCCGGCTGGTCGAGGATAATCCAGGAGGAGACCAGGACGACGCAGAGCAGCCGCACGGCGGCGGTGGTGGTGGTGCAGCAGGGGTTGGTCCCTGACGTCGGGTACGTCGGCGACGGGCAGATGGTCGCGGCGACGCTCATCTCTACGACTGCTGGCCCCCCCGCGGGCCCGCGCAGCACACCTGCGGCCTATGCACGGCACGCACGCACGTTAGCACGTACGTGGCGTACCTGCACGCCCACGCAGGTCAACCCTGCCTGGCCTACTTCCGGTATCACATCTCCGGCCGATCGCGGAGGCGCGCGCGATCGATGACGCGCATAGTCGCCGCCACGGAACCTGACTTGCCCGTAGCTCTCTTCCTCTCTGTCTCTCCCTCTCTATCGCTCTGTCCTCCGGCCGCGTGGATCCCCCCCGCGCCTCTCGCGATCTAGCGGCCCTCGTCGTCGTCGTCGTCGTCGTCGTCGTCGTCGTCGTCGTGGTCGCTCAGAGCGGCACGCCGCCGGCGCGTCCAGACTCCCTCGCCCGATCGCGAAGGGTTTGGCGCGCGCGATTCCAGGATCCGACAACGGAGGCGCACTCCGGACGTAGGCGAGAGATGGTGGGACCGACGATCGCGCGCTCGCGCCGTCGCGCCGTATCGTGCACCGTGCGATTGTGCCGCGTACCGTGGCGGAAAGGCGCGGGCAACCAAGCAACGACCGGCCTGACTCACCCCGACGAGGGTCGTCGCGACGCCAGAGCGCCGGCGTTCTGCGCAATACGGCCGTGCCACGTTTCCACCCCCTTTGACCGCCGCGCCGGCCCTTGCGCCGCGCGGTGTGATGTGCCTAGCTGTGGTGCGGCGCGGCGTGGCGACGTTGCTCCGCGGCATCCACCCCCTCGCAATCACCCCGTCGCCGCCGCCGGAGCGTAGACGGAGCGCGGTGCCTCTGAGTCATTTCTCGGGCAAGACCCGCGGCCGTCGTCACTTGGCCGACCAGGACGCAAGGCGACACCGTCGTCGTAGTCGTCGCGGTCACGCTGGCATGACGCAGCGCGTGGAACACGACCGTGCGCCCCGCGCTGCACCCCGCTTCTAAGGGGCGCACGACCGGCGGCACACGGCGATTTCGCCACGCTACGTAAATATGAATGCCATTACGATGCAGTCTCGGAACCGTGGATCCTTCGCCTCTTCATGGCGGATTCTTCATCAATCACTTTCTTAAGTGAGACGAAGCGGCATGATGATAGCTCCACGGGTTACGGAGGATCCGAGAAAGGCTTGACGTGCCGAAAGTTTAAACATTTTGCATTTTCAGATCTCTACGATAATCCGAGTCAACTCGAATTAATTTTTTATCAACAAGAAACCAAATATGCGACACAGGGGGTTATGTAATGCCCGCCTCACCTCTTATTTACGGACAGAGCGAATTAGACTGAGTCGAAAAGTCCCCTACCATTTTGCAATTTTCGTAATGGTTAACGAGTTATTAATTATTAAAAATCGCTGTCTTAAGCCAACGGCACACGATACTACTTTTCCTACTGGATTGCTTACGAGAGCCAATCAGGATTTAGCTTTAAGATGCGGCTGTCCCGCGACCAGCGTTGCTAGGCGCGCAGAGAATTGTTTATGAGACACAGCAAGGGCTACGTATAATAAACAACTCCCCGCGCGCCTAGCAATGCCGATCGCGGGACGGCCGCGTCTCTCAGCACGCTTTAATTGAGTGGTACGCCGGGCTCAATTAGCGATTTTTAATAATTAATAACTTATTAACCGTTGCGAAAATTGCAAAATGGTAGAGGACTTTTCGACTCAATCTAGTCCACTCTATCCGTAATTAAGAGGTGAGGCGGGTATTACACAACACACCCTGTATATGTAATTAAAAGGTAAAATGACAAATCGTAGCTCTTTTTCAGAATTAAATCTACTTTGTCGCCGGAGCTCTGTCGAGTCAATTTCAGGAACAGATCTTAAATTATCGTTAACAATTTTGAATGAAAATCAATTAATACAAATAGTAGAACAAAGGCCATAAATAATAATAATAACGAACCGTTAAGGGTGACAGTGCAAAAATATATATAATATTTATGGAATTAAATATGCGAATGTATGCGAACGTTTCGACAATACTATGCCAACATCAACGCAATTAGTTAAAAACGTTAATATAAAAAATCAATTAAACTTATTGATCTCTTTTCCTCCTTCCTTCATTCTTTGGTCGAAACTTGTTTCGGCAAACTTTCTTGCGACTTACAATTAATAAGAATAACAAATCATTATTAGCAAATATTATTTTTATTCTCTAATGCTTTCTAATTGTTTCTCCACGGCCACTGTGCAGATATAAAATCGCAATGAGTGATTCGATGAAATTGTTTACTTGAATTGTAATATTTTCTAAATTACCTTTTCTCACGCACACTTTCTCTATATTTAAGAATTTACTTGGTGTTAGGCATATTTTCTCGGTATTTCATCTGCATCATTTATGGGACTTGATGCATTATAGGTGGATGACGCATACGAGTATTTCCGTGAAAACCCTGGATCTAACCGCGCGATCATAATTTCGCTCCTTGATCGATGGCTCGCCACATTACGACGTCAGCAAAACTTTGCCGTACACATTGCTTATCCTGCAAACATGAAATGACTGCCAATTAAGATTAATATTGCGGATAGCAGAAGAAAATTATGTGATTAATACGAGACGTGAAATAAAGTACGCTGCACATTAGCGCAAATTAAAAAATAATATAATGCGTTATTAAGACAAACAGATATATCACATAATATTATACGCGACGAACAATTCACAGCGTGGAAACAACACCTGCTGTTGACGTATCCGAAAGCTGCTTGCGTCCGAAACTGCGTTGTAGCTGCCAAAAATTATATATTTTACGTTGCTCCAAATATATTGGATTCAACACTGTGTTGGATTCAAATATATGAGGACGTATAGTACATGATCGATATTTTCCAGGCAATAAAATTAGGTAATAATTTATGTCTCAATCGTGTAATATCTAATTATATCCAATTCTAAAATCGTCAGGTCTTCAGAGATCCGACACTTTTATTGAATATTCAATGTTATTATCTATTGAGATCTAACTATGTTCTCTCGGGACATTTAATTATAGATTTAGTTAGATCTCAATAGATAACGTCGAGCATTCGAGGAAAGTGTCAAATCTCTGAGGCTCTAATAATTTGTAGAATTGGATCTCATGAGATATATTAATTAGATATTACATGATTGAGACATATACAATGAGATCTCTTTCCATTTTTCGGGCGATCAATTACAGAGAGATGCGCGTGAATTGTCAAAAGGTCTTTGTAGCTCGTGTAGGTGGGATTTAATGGGTAGGGTTCCAGTATCGCTCTAACTAGTCCATCATGCACGCGATCAATTTCAGGTGATAATTATCGGCGGACAGGCTGGTCACATGGGACACGGGCGTGCTATAATTATGTCAACTAATGTAATGCTGCGTCGCCGGGTCGCTTTTGACGTTAATTGTGCATGCTATTACAACGTCACTCGAATATACCTATCTAGCGCGATCTTTTCTCGAGAAACGCTCTCGTATCATGCGATAATATTGCGAGCCGAAATTCTTGCTATATAATTGTGCATTTCACATTTTCATTGTACGTTACCTTCTTAGTTGCGCGAATTCTGTTAGGTATTGCATGGGCTCATGCGATCCGTTGTATATTGCAACTTGACTTATTGAATTAGTTTAATATTAATTGTAAACAATAAAATTCACAAGGCTCTGACGTGAAATCCACAGTTCGGAAGAATAAAGGATACCAGAGCCAAGACAGGATGTTAGTGTCTAAATGATTTTAACTTTTAAACTTATTTTAATATTAATTAGTTTTGTTTCTTCCGAAATCAACTGTGATTAATATTGCACATAAACAAAAATGTAATTTATCTCCCGGCTTGTTATCATTCAATTTTCATTCTGGACACACGTGTGATTAAAGCGTCGCTTCCTTTTTATCCGTCCATTTATAACATCCATCTATGACCTAATAATAACTTCATTGATTATGCGATATACTTAACGCTTTTCCTCGCCGAAAAGCAACATACCTACTTATTTCTAGCAATCCGTGTTTAATCTCCTTCAAAACATCAAGCTGGACTTGACACGTTCGACCGATAAGTAGCTATTGTAATTGTTTCATTGTGTCACGCGGCGACTATTAATCAGTACCCACGCAGCAAGATGATAATAGAAAGATCTCTTAATGTTCTCTCCGTTTTAAGATCTAGACGTCCAAAAATACCTTTAGAAAAACAACATAATGAAGTTAGAAAAAGCTCTTATGCGCCACTTGCAGATGAAAGACTTTCAAAAGTCATCGGATAGATAACTTTTTTGAGTTATCCTATAATACATATCGATGTTGCACCTCAAACTAGACAACTTTAAGAGTTCATGTTTATAATGTCAATAAGACATATGTTCTACGATATTTAAAACACAACGCCTTTTAACAAGTAGTTCAAAAGAAATTTTTAACAATGTAAAGAATAGAAATAGCATGAAGGAAAATCACACAAGCGTAGACAAGAGATCGTACAGTAAAAGGACTCACTTTAACATCAGAGTAAAGATAAAAACTTTCATGCGGGTGTATCAATTTGTAACACCACGTGCGGCTTTTTCTTACCAGAAAGCGCTACGCCGCGCGTCCCTCTAGCGGGAACTTTGACAGGCTTCCCATATTAGCATTAAATAGACATTATAAAGAGCATTTTTCGGAGATATCTTATAGAAATCATTTTTAAGATGACATTTGAATGTCGATTTGAAGAGATTTATTAAACTTCTTTCAAAATACAGGATGTTATGTAACACCCGTCTCCCCTCTTACTTACTGATAGAGCGGATTAGACTTAGTTGAAAAGTCCTGTACCATTTTGCAATTTTCGCAATGGTTAACGAATGATTAATTATTAAAAATCGCTGTCCTAGCCCGGCCTACTGTCCAATTCAAGCGCGCGGCGAGACGCGGCCGTCCCGCGATCGGCGTTGCTAGGCGCGCGGGGAGTTGCTCATGACACACGGTATATCGGTTACGTATAATAAGCAACTCCCCGTGTGCAGATCGCGGGACGGCCGCATCTCGTCGGGCGCTTGAATTGGGCGATAGGTCGGGCTAGGACAGTGATTTTCAAGAATTAATAACTCGTTAACTATTTCGAAAATTGCAAAATGGTAGAGGACTTTTCGACTTATGCCCGATTTCTTCACATCCAGTTATGTTGCGGTTAAAGTTAACCAGGAGATAAACTACCAGATCCAGGCACGTAATTGGCTAAACTCGAGATTAACCTCCGGATAATTTTATCAGGAAGTGAAAAAATCGGCCATTTGTCTAGTCCGCTCCATCCGCAAATAAGAAGCGAGAAGGGTATTACATAGCACCCTGTATATCTTTCAGATATCTTATGTAAGAAATTTCAAAACAAGATGCTTTTTAAACCTCTTACAACAGACATCTCTATTTATCTGGTAGATATCTTAAGCAGATCTTTCTGACATAAACGCTGTGTGGGTAATAAGTAAAAAGGGTCGCGTAATGATTGGACGTTCGTGTCAGCGTCCCGATGCCTATCGAGAGAAATGTAACGACGATGCAGGATCAATTTCTTAGATCCCTTCGGGCGGAGCCAAGTGGCCAGAGCAAGAAAAAAAGGAGTCTTAGACTTGTCAGGTTTGTAATGCCAGTGTGGCCCACTTTTGCCCGACGAGCAGAGTCTTATGTAACGCGCTTCTCGATCCTTCTGCTCACGTAAAAGCGTGCTGAGCTCCATTAACGGGATGAGGAAACGGCGGAACCCTCGCAGAGACGTCGCGAAATGTGTGGTAATCCACCGAAGTTTACTTACATGTTCCCTCAGCGTGACATTCAATCTTCAGAAATACAATAGTTTGCGCAGCGGAGAATCGCATTTTATCATAACAACAACGTCGCGTTTCATATATCTACGAATTTGTATTAAATTGAATTACATTAACATATTCAAAATTGTAATTTACATTACATTTGCATTCAATGCGTGCGCCAGACAAAAATGAAGTAGAAAGTCAAACATGCGTGATCTACTTTTCTGCTGCTTCATCGCCACGAACTTCAAAGGGTAGAGCGATTGTAGTTCAAAATAATATCTGTCATTTATTTTCAACTTTAGACAGAAGTATTTTTCAAATAAACAAATGTTTCAGGTAGAGGGAAGACTTTATATTCTGTTATGTTAAAATGCACGCACATTTAAAAAAAATGTTAATTTTATGAGTTTTTAATGTTTCAGTTAAATTTTACGCTCTCTTGATGCACGGCGAAAAATGCTGTTGAATTAAACAAGAATGAAGTTGCTTGAATTGAATGTTGATGTCACGAACTGCCACAAACATAAATAATTCACTCAATTGTATTTGCTATACATTATAATTTTAAGCATTGAACTTATCCATTGAACTTAAGCATTGAAAATATCCAAATTATTAAGAGAGCTCTCTGATGTTTTTCATTCGTTAATACTTACTGATGTTGTTTCAACGGTTTTATTTAAATTACACTGACCTTATTGATACGTCTTTTTTTTCCGCGTGGATTTCGTAGTCAATTATAAAATTGTTTCCGTATTGTAAAAATAAAACGTTGAAGCTGTTGAAGTTTCATCATCAGCTGATTTACTCGAACGTTTCAACATACATTTAAATAGATCTCCACAATTTAAATAACGAAAGATTTTTTACTGTGAAATTTTATATAAAATCGACGAAGATACCAATTATCTCCTTTATTTATCGATGCAAAGCTATATATATGTTTTGCCAATCGCTTTGAGTAATCTTCCTTAATGGCATTTCGAGGTAAAACGAGTTCTTCCAGAGTGCTGCAAAAATAATAATCGACCACATTCGATCGACCGATTATTACGCAAACGCGTCTGATAGGTCAAGAATCTCTTCCATTTGCAATTCCTCTGCATTATTTCATTGAAAAACAAATAAACCAGCTATTCGAGGGAAGCAGCTGATGAAATGTTACGGTGTCTATACCTTAATAATTTGCTCGCTTTAGACAAGAATTAATGCAAATGCAATTAATGAATATACTTACATATAGAACGAACAACACATAATTCTTTATTATTATAAAATGCTCGGTATTCTTACGATGGTACAAAAATATAAGATTTATATCAAATATTGCGCAACATGTCACATATCAAACTATATAACGAATAAATTTAAAAATTTGTGTATAAAGATGGAATCTAGCCTTTGGCGAAAGCACTTCGTCGACGAGTAAAGATGCAGGCAGTATGCTGACGAATTCTTATTTTGCAGTCTGGGACACCAGTTCGGACCAGAATGTTGAATAGTCCTTTAGTACAGTTCCGCTGAAACAGCACGACATATATTATTGTAATAAATGGTTAACATATTTTTAAATATGTGTATTTAATACACAAGTGCATAAATCATATTTGATAAATCACATATCTCATTTTTTTTTCTATTATACAATTCATAAATCATTTTTAATGTCAAACATAGCGTATTGAAACAGCTGAGTCAAATGTTATTTATGCACGTTTTAAAAGGTGTCATATATTTTGACAGGTTTAGTTGCACGTATGTAATAAATAAATAAACTATCGTAAGATACTTAATCTCTTTTAGTTGTATAAACGATAGATTTACGATTGGTTTTCTTTTTCTTAAAGTACTTTACATCGTTGCATTGCTCTACCAAAATAAATAAGTGATTTCAAGCTTTTGTTTTGCAATATATTGTATTTTCAGATTCATAAAAACTTTTTTCTTTCATTTAATCTTATAATTCAGAAATCATGTATTTTTCAATTCTTAATTTTCGGTGTTCCCTTCCTTGTTCAGAAAAATAATTGCTTAAAATTCATTTAAGAATTTCCGGTTCACCTTTCGTTTCGATGACGATGTAATATTTACATAGGAATGTTTCGTCTGTATAATGTAGCTGAATGTCGAGGCAATTAATTTAGAATAATAAACAGTTTATACGTTAAACATGTTATTCTTGACGAACAAAGTATCCCAGGCGAGAGACCGAACGGTAGTCCAACTTTCCAATGTAAAACCGTGCTGGGAAATCCAACGGGTATTAATGTCTCACGTATGCGTGGAATTACGAATGGCCGAATAGCAAAAGCAATTATTTCCAATGGCCAACGTCGTACAATTAGTCCCGCTGCGCCATCGCGAACCGCCGCGAATTATTGCGCGTGCATTGGGTATACCTCATTTTACGGTTATTAAATTTGATTCAGCCGCACCATGAAATGTACGTTTGCGCGAATGCTGAAGAAAAAAAGACTAAATGTCCTCGTTAACGATCCAAAGGCAATTAACATCATCGGATGTCTCAAGTTTCAAGAAGATACTTTAAGATTCTTTGTACTCATTCAGAGAACTAAGTACGTGTGAATACTATTCATTTTTCTACAAGATTAATTTATTAAAAAATTTTATATAAACAATTTTTTGTCAAACCTCAACTCGCAATTAACGACTGCATCGTTTTATTAAATTATGATAAATTGGTTAAATTACAGTTATTAAGTGTGCGTCATCCGGATGCATTGTAAAGTACACATTCTCGTGAAGAAGAATCTTTTAATATCCTCATATAATAATCAAGCGTCGATATATTTAATATTTGTGGACTATTTTTAGAAAAAAGAATTAACCGGTTTAGAACGTGTTGACTTCCGAAGATGCTTTGAAACCATTTGTATTCATATATAGAGAATTGTGTATGCAAGTGTAAAAAATAAGGTAAACAATTTTTACGATATTTTAAAATTTACCTCATAATAGAAAAAAAATTGTATTTCTTCCTAAAAACTTGTCGACAAAAGTGACAAAATCAAGATGTTCTTTCATCGAGAATAATTATTTAACTGTAATTATGTAGCTTGGAATTTGGACTGTGTTGCATAAAATGTACACCGCCAACAACTCACAATTGTCGTGAAATCAACGTATAAATCGTGGGAATTTTTATTGCGTAATTCTTATGCAACCATTCCAGCCATAAATGCATATGCGTTTACAGCATAATATCATATATCTCATCGAAGTTGTACATCTCGCCAGGAATCTTTGATAATTATACGGACAATGCAGGTTTCAACTGCCGCAATTTGCGACAAGTCCCAACATCGTCCTTCCTACGCTCCATCGTTAATACACGAACGGATATTTCCCATGGGATTTCCGCCGTGTTGGAGAACGCGGCACTCACGTGAAGTAAACGCTGCCGCGTGCGTTCTGCGGCGCGTTCCAGATGAAGGTGGCCTGCTCCTTATCGTGTGGATCCGCGTGTGTCACGGCACTGCACTCGGAATGCACCTTCGTGTTCGACGTACGAGACCAGCTTCCGATCCATTCGTTGGTGCTGGCGTCACGTGCCTGCAGCAAGAATCCCTTAAACGGGGCACCCCCGATGGTGACTGAAAAATAGACGAGCCGAGTTCCAATGGGGATGGACACCTCTCTTTCGCTCGGAATAAAATTCACTCTGCCGCCTTATCGCCGGTGTATATCAGTGTTTGAGATGATATAGCGCGCGTTGCCGTGGCACATGTGAGTTTTACGTGCTCGGGGCAATCGCGCGCGAATCCGTCGCGATATCGGCAAAGTGATTTCGTATAAAAGAAATAGTAGGCAGTCGGACATAACGCTTGCAACAGTAATCGCAATTTATATCTGTCTGGGGATTCGGAACGAGTGTTAGCACGAATAAACTGGATACAATCTACGAAGAAGACAGATAAATCCCTCCCGAAAGGAAACTAAAATCCGTAGCTTAAAAACATTTCAACTTTTACGCTATGTCATCCTGCAGTATTGAGATCCCCCATGAAAAAGTATATACCCCAAAATATATTATATATTATAGTATATCAATACTTATACGTTAATATATAACTAATTAAATCATTTTTGCCGCCTATGATGTAGAAGAAATATAAGAAAATACTATATATTTACATAAAATATGCAAAATATATTTTTAATACATAATCTAATATGTAAAATAGATATATTAGAATATATATGGAATATATGCCTGCATATATGAAATTAAATCGTTTTTTGCCGTTTAAAATATATGATGAATATAAGTAAAGAAGGTATATTTTTTCATGGGAGATAGCGTAATGAAACATTATAAAAAAATTATTAAGTTGCTCTAATTTCGGAAAGATAAATGGATGGCAATAATACGAGAATAACGAGTGAGAATTAGACATTTCCCAGTGAGAAATGATTCGTCGATCGACGTCGAAATGATGTCGAATCGACGTCAATTCGACGGTGTCGATGTCGAAACGACGTCGATCGACGAATCATTTCTCACTGGGTTAGAATGTACGCGGAGAGAATTTTCTCTTAAAATATACCCTGAAAATCATGTAATTGTGAGACAACATGGCATTTTGAAGAGCTTTATAAGAATTTTTTGAAATTTTGCCGTACATTTTACTAGTAAAAGTCCTTCAAAATGCCATATTGTTCCACGATTACATAATTTTCAGGGTAAATTTTAAGAAAAAATTCTCTCCGTGACACGTTTATCATATTATTAAGTTAATATACAGTAACAATTACAATAGAATAAAAAATTGTGTAAACTACATCGGTTAAATATGTAACACAATCTATGTCGAAAAGGATCAAGTTCACCCCAAATTCGTCTCAAATTGATAAATATGAATCTTATAACTTCGGCAACTCCCTAATCCTAGCAGTTAATTTATCCTGCATATTAGTTTTATTATTTTTTATCCGCTGTTATATCTTTATAATAGAATAAAAATATATCTTTCACTTATAAACAACGAAACGTGTAGAGTGTAAAGAAATTGTCCTGTAAAACTTGTTACAATATTGCAATGGACAAGACTCATTGCAGTTTTCTAAACAGAATTGCATTTTAATCAGCAACACGTGTTTTTAGTCACATTGCGCAACCACGCCGTTCTTAGACTTTCGTTTCAACCTTCCTTCGCGGATGAATGACATCTACGTTCAATCACGCGTGACCCACGTATGCGAACTGCTCGTACGCTCGAAAACGAGCGGGCGCATTTATCCCTCTTGTCGGCCTAATTCGCCATTGTCCCACGAGCGCAGATGTGCTCAGCGAAGCTAATGGAATGCACCGCTACATACGGACATTTAACGTGTTTCGTGATTGCGATTTTGATGGATCCAATTATCTCGTTTCGAATAAAATGCATGCTTCCTTCATAAAAATGAGGCGAACTAGATTGTGTATATTATTTATATATAAAAGCAATTTACATCGAGCTCTATACTGAACTCTAAGCGAGAGATGGCAATAGAAAGAGAAAAAGAGAAAAGAAATCGACTTTGTATTACAATTGTCTTGTAATTCTCTTTTACAAAACTAAGTATTTTAATTTATTATATCTTAAAATTATACGCTGTGAATTGTCGCAAGATATTGGCAGCATTTCTTTCTTCCCTTTTTCTTTTTAGTGTATAAAATAATATCAAAAGGTTGCTAAAATTAAACTGTTGTTGTCTTATAGTGAGCAGAGAGACATTAATTAAACATTACACTTAAAAGCAATCAGTCATTAAAGAAACATATATGTATATAAACTTAAAAGATAAATGTATAGGAAAGAGTTGATAATTTAGTTGATTACTCCAAGAGATACCTTTTCGGAACAATAACCATCCGAGCTTGCGTATATAATTGAAAAACAACTGCTTTCTGAAAACTGTTAAAGACTAAAAATAGGCTGAAATAAGATCATTAAAGCATGATTTAACATTATTAAGAATAAAAATAAATTAATAAGTGTAAGTAAAAAGAATCTGAAGTAAATTTCTCGCACAGAAATGGTGTTCCGTTTTGAGATCTTCCTGATATATACACCCCCTGCAACAAAAAAAGCACCTAATTTTTGTTGAAATATCTACCTACGAATCAGAGATAATAAACGCAACGTGTCTTGCTAGTGTATTGTATTTAATCTTTATTATACGCAAAATAATAAAAAGTACAAATAATATCGATAAACCGATGTCAAGGCATCGTTAAGGTTCAACCGAGTATTGACTCGTTTTATATACTTTTATTTCTCTAGTTAACTCTAGTATCTAATAATTATAAGCATTAGTTTTATATAAAAAAAACTATTTAACGATATATTTTTCAGACGTAAAAAGCTTGTATTAATTTTTTAACGGTAATTGTGTTTTTTCTCTCGTTACGTATTTTCACTTCATTAAGTTGTCCAATTTTCGCCGACACTGGCACTACAATACATTAGTAAAATACATTGTGTTAAAAACAAACATTTTTTATTCATCATCATAGATATTTCAACCAAAAATTAAATGCGACTCGTTTTGTTGCGCGGGATGTATAATAACAGTGAGTTACGCAGCCAATCGATTTTTCGGCTCTTTTCCATTTATTTTCACAAATTTATAAATGCATATTTTTTTGGTACCATATGCTAGGTGAAAATAATAAATCTTTTTTTACAGAATAGTGCTTAATTTATCTCGTTCCTTTCACTCATAAAATAACAGCTATTTAGTTTCAACAGCTTCTCGATTCTCGCCCAGGTATACACGAATATACATTTATACATTGTTCTGCTATTATCTTGTCAGCTTCACCCCAAACGATATTAGTCCTTTGTATACCGTGTATAAAGAAAGACTTATATACTTCTAAAGTTTTATTAATCTAGTCTATTACATCGCTATCTCTCGCTCGGAAGTGCGGCTGCGGAACCCGCTAATGAAAATTTCATTTATTTTGCGTAATAAGAAATTAACCCAGAATACCAGATGGTGCTTAGTAGTACGATATAAGCGCCGTGTTTGACCCACCTGTGACCTGCGAGCCTGGTTCATACTGCGACGACGAAGCCAGTATCTTGTAGGGGTTCGTGTTTAAGGGCTGTGACCGCGCCTCGCCGTGATAGGGTTGATTAGGCCGTGGCTTCACGCACACGTCCACCGGCGCGCCATCCGGAAACCCGAGAACGGAAATCGACGAGAAGAGGAGGAGTGCGGATAAAACCGTAATGTGTCCGGCGAGATGCATCTTGATCGCCACCTTTGTTTCCGCGAGAGATAAATGCAACAAAATTTTAACAAATTGAAGGAAGGGGCCAATGTGAGCCAAAGCGCCAGAAGGAAGAGGCCTATGGAAATGTTACCCCTTTTTATTAATAAAACACTTATCAAAACAAGTATTCGAGACGTTTCGGTCCACTTCGGACCTTCTTCAGTACTACAAAAAAAACCAGTAAGGTGCGAGATATAATGAATCGTCAGAATAAAAGAATAAAATCGTTTAAAAATGTACCAGATCAACACTTATAAATAACAAAATACTGAAATAAAGTGTGATTTTAAACCGTTTAACTGTCTCTCGAAAAATTAATTGGTGTCACGAATGCTATCACGACGATAGAAAGAAGGAAAGACAGGATGCAGACACAACAGTAACAGAATAACTACGTGGTAAATTTAAAATCGTCCGAGAAATTAAAATTAGTGTAAAGTGTAAAGAAAAGAGTGGGAGGAGGCATGAGACAGAAACTTACAAAATAAAAAACGTTGCCAAAAGAAACGTATCGGAATAAAAAAAACAAACCAAAGGCTTAAAGTATAAAATTGTAAAGAAATAAAAAATTGTACTGTACAAGTTATTTAACAGATCTGTGTCTGTGTGTAAATTAATACTGTGTTTTTGGCGTTTAATAAAAGCATTTCAGAAATTAGTCGTTTGTATAAAAGAACTTCTTCATCCAAGATATCAACATTAATCCAATCGAGATCATGGCCTAAAAGCCGATGCTCAGTGATGACTGAGTGTGTTGTGTAGAATTTATATGTTAATATCATTTCGATGTTCACCAATTCTGGTCTTTAGGAATCTGCCAGCTTGGCCCACATATCGACTGATCTCTTTCGCAAGGTCGTATCACAATTTTCGAGGTTTTTGCTTAAACGCTCATTTAGAATCAGAAAGAATCAGAACAGCGTTTAAACAGAAAAACTGGAAATTGCGTAAAATCGACATACGACCTTGCGAACAAGATCGATCGACATGTGGCATCGCAATCACTACAAGAGATTCTATCAGGGTTGGGAAAGTTACTTTATAAAAGTATCTAGTTACAGTTACGGTGTTTTCGCTAAAAATGTAACTAGTCACAGTTACAAGTTATCAATTCTGAAAAGTAACGCGTTACAGTTACTCAAAAAGTAACGAATCGTTATTTTTCAGTTACTTTCTTGCAATGAAAACAAAAATATCAAATATACATCTGGATTGTAAAGCGTCGATAAAGGCGTTTATGCGCGACACGTTTTTTACTTGCAAATATACTCATATCATTTATCCGCGCTTATGCCTTTCGCGTTATCCGCAATTTAACACCACCAGGAGTGACTAACAAACAAACAAACAAATAAAATCAGGTAGCTCATATACAGAAATATTAATAAATAATATCGAGTTGGCATCTTCCACAAAATTTAAATTCGTCAAAAATATCAACGCGCAGGATTAGCCGTTGATTGATTCACAAATACATTTGCTGTACGTATCCGATTTTATATAAATAAAGTTCTAATGCACAAAACTAATTTGAGGACACAGATAAATTCGTAATGAGAGAAAATTAAAATAAATTTGACATAACATCTGAGAATGGAGAAGAATATTCCGGCAAGGAAACTGCAGAGACTTACTCGAAACAGTAAGAGCTGTTTACACGACAATCGCGCGAGGATAAAAAGATATTTCGTGCTCGTGATAGATCTGCACGCAAGAAACTGATAGTACCCTGCCAATTGCAGGCGAGCCAAACCTTGGTGGTGATCCCACCATAGGATCACAAAGCCGCAACACTCGCCTTTACTAAATTGATCCTTCACTTTCACTCGTTCCCTCTGCCGATCCTGTAACCGGTTCCACTCCTCGTCCGTTTAGGAGAATTATCTACGAGTGTGTTTAACGCGTAACAGAATTAATTACATTACGCGTTGCCGTAAATAGCTATATAAATAGTGTTACTTCCTTTTACGTATCAGATAACGACACGTGATGTAACACCGTCATTATTCTCAGCACGTAAAAAGCTGAGATCTCCTGTTGTGGAAATCGTGTCGTTGTTTATCGCAGCCACGTAATTCTATATTAGAATTATTTATCTTCTTGCCATCATGAAACTTGAATACCTTTACGTCGATAATATTCAATGAGATAAATAAAAAAGTGCGGTTCAGGCATACATTAACATTGTCTATACCTACTTCCTGCAATTCATCGGCTTTTTTTATTTTTGGATGTTAGATAAGCGCGTGATTTTAAAGCGATCATTATATTCTCTTTTAAAAGGAGTAAATGCAAGATCTAGAAAATCATTTCAACGCTAAATGAAAATAAAATGTTTCTCGAAGCGTCTCGCCTGCCTAAGCAAGAGGGAGGTCCAGGTTCAAACCCTGGCTGAGGTAAATATTTCGCAATAAACTCACAAATTAAAATTATTCAGACACTAACATCCTGTCTCGGCTCTTATATCCTTTATTCCTTCGAATTGCGATTTCACGTTAGAGCCTTGTGAATTTTATTGTTTAACATGTTTTTATAAAGCTGTTCGTTCAAGAAAATGTGTAACGTGTAAATAGGTACGTAAGTTTTATTTAAATTTGCAGAACACTGTCCTCTCCCATGAGATTGGGGTATCATAATTTTGCTGCAATTCATCACGCGGCACTGTTTGTCTGCGGATAAGCTAAACGATACAAAGCGAAAATCGAAATTAAAAAATGCGATTGTTGAAAGCAGTGCACTCTTGGACACCTGTGTGCACCACGTTATTTGCATTGCCTTTTATCGAACAGCCTTAATCTTTATTATCACTGTTGTCGCGCGGAATAGCTATTATTTGCTCGTTGTTAGAGCTATTGCTACTTCGTGCTGTATTCCCCAGTGAGAGCACTAACGTTGAATCGACGTCAATGGGATCGAGAAAACGCGTCCCAACTGCTATGTTTTCGAAGATAATTAAGTTTCGGAACTTAATTTTTTGTATTAAATTACTATGTACACAACGTTCTGAATACTTTTAACATCCCTAGTAGCGCAACATATTGGCGCAATATTGCGAAATAATGTAAATCTATTATTCCCAATATTGGCCCTTTTCTTATTTAGCCAATATACCTATGTCTATTTAGCAATATTGATATCTAATATTGCATCGATATTAGTCCAATATTGTTATTACATTGTTAAATATTGGCCTAAGCACTTCCAATATAAATCTAATATTATATAATTATTATCGTGCAATATTTACATTTCGTGGTCAATATTGACTTTACGTTGGACAATATTGACCAATGCACTGTGTGCTACTAGGAATCTTATCGGAGAGAACTGCAAAGTTAGCTTATTTAATACAGAATTTAATTCGAAAGATAAAGTTTCCCAAATTTGTATTTGGGAATTATTTTCGAAAACTAACGGTCGGGACTTTCGACCCCATTGACGTCGATTCGACGTTGATTCGCGCGAAACGTTAATGTTCTCACTGGGTCACGGAAATATCTCGTTCTGTCGGACACATTTTTCAGGTACGTGTGTTTCGCAAGAGAATACATGAATATTAAACTCCAAGATCTCGAGTGAATGGAGATGAAAGGTCTCCATATTCATATCAATTAGGTAAAACAAATAAAATTATGAAAGAAAGTTCAAACGAAACTCGGGGTAATATTTCGATATAAAGCAACGGCAGCTCTCCTATCGCGTGATATTCAATTTGCATTAAACTATATAGTAGCATCTCTTGAACCTTTACCGATTTGTCAGACTCGCAACCTCGCAAAATCGAGTTGCTGCATACCGCATGTGATTACGTATTTCACGAGTCGCTAATACAGTCCTTTCACTGTCGATTATTAAATGTTACGCGTAACGCTGTACTACGCGTGTAAATTCGCGGCATGCATCCCATCAGAATTGTAACATTGACCCTTATGCAATACTTTCCCCTGTGTGCGACACGCTCGTCCGCCGATTATTGTACAGACAACTTTCGCGCGTTCGATAGGGATGAGTAATATAATACAAGACGGTCGGTGCAGTCTTGCGAAGCAATTGTATTGCGTGTTAAACTCTTCGAACGAGCGCGCATAATGCAAAAGCGTGCGCGCATTATGCACTCATGCACACGTGCTCTGATACATGCATAGCGAGTTCACTCAGTCAATGTGACTTTTCACACTGTGCTATTGATTTTCCACGGCCTTTTCAGGCCGTCGGTTGTGTACACGCGCTAGAAATACTTCTTTCAGATTGCCTCGTAATCGACGTCGCGAAACCAAACAATTTATTTGCGTATTGATTCGCATTACAAATACTTTTCCTACTGTCTATACATATGTACAAGTTCTTGTAAAACGCACCTTCTCGTAAAACGTCGGCAAACGGAACTTGTGTTAATGGTTAAAAATATTTTTCATCGGAGAATACTATTTTTCGTAAAGCAAGATTCGTTGCTGTTAAATAGTTGATATTTACAGTTGTTGTATAATACATTTAATACTTGCTTCTTCTTAAAGCTATATGTAATGATTAAGCTTTATGTATATGTATACAATTATTAAATTTTATATATATGTATATAAAATTTAATACACACAATTATATGTATATTGTTATGTGTATAATTACATGTATATTCGTTATACATTACATGTAAAACAAAACTGTTATATATAACCAAGAATTTACTGAAGTATCTCAACGAGTAAAAATTTATATACACTTTAATTACTTATACAGAAAGGTATAACGTAGGAAATACGTCTTAATTTGCGGTTTGAGGTCAATGCAAGAAAAATGTATTGATTTGAACACAAATAGGCATGAAATATATAATCTTTCTCGATTACAAATGACACTCATTCTTCACAGTTTTTACGTGTTATATAAAAAATAAAAAATTATAAATAGTTTCTCGCAACTTCACGAATGTTGTTATAAAAATTTTCAAAAATTAATACATTCTCAGACAAATTATTTAAGCCATACGGAGTCTTTATATTACTTCCACCGCACACGGCCGCGGCAACCATCCTCTTACACGTTTCGATTTTGCATCTTCTCCTTCCTTCTGTTCTTTTTCTCCAAATAGCCAATATCTGCAAAAAAATTAGTGAGTTTTCCGTCGAATAGCAATTATCTGAAAAAGTGAATTTTCAAAATTTAATGAGAAATATACAATGCATACTTCTTCCAACGTGTTACAACCACGATATCATCTACATCTAACTTAATGCGAGGTTCGTCGGTACAAAGAGGATGAAAAAATACGCCACAGCCGTGTCCAATTGGAAACTTGGATCCTGTTGTAGCCTTTATGATCCTATATCTGCGTGCTCTTTTCCGTTTGTCTAATTTTTGTGCAAGCTGCTCTCTCTGCAAAATAATTATTAGCATCGGTTCAGTCTCGAAGAATTAAGAATATTGCATAATGTGCAAGCAATAATTATAGTAATTTTTACATAAGATATCCTCTTCAATTGAGTCAGTATATAATTATTGTAAATTCTTATTACTTAAACAAAATTACCGTCAATGTATATTGATCACAGCCATCAATAATGGGCCACGTAATGCCATCGCCGACAGGAGTGCAGCTCCATGTGAGAACTTGGTTAACATTAAAACGCCATCCCTTTGAATACGGATGTACATATTTGGCATCTGTGTCATCTCGCCGATATCGGGACTTCTCCAGAATCCAATCTTCTATTTCCGTTCGATTTCTCACGATGGCTAACAGCTATGCAATTCAAAGAATTGTTAAATTGATGTATCAATGAAATGTACAAAATTGAATTGAGAATATTTACCTGGAAATATAGCAACATTCCTACAGCAAGTACAACGCCGATTGATAAGCCAATACTAAATACCACTAATATTAATGTATAGACCGCTGGAGGCGGAAACGGCAAGGGCTTCAGCGATAATACGGTCGCAACCCAGGAAATTAATATAACGGAAGAGACGCAACAACCGCCGACTGCGCTTGCCAAAAATGCTGTGAAATGCCCTTGATTGCAATGTCCAACGCATGTATTTATCCATGGACAATGATGGTCCATTTTCATCACGCAACGACCACCTAAAAAGCAAATAAAGAAAAAAGAATTATAGGAGGAATTAAAATAGAATTGATACAGCGAGCTTGAAAATGATATAATGATTCTCTTTTAGCATTACATATGCTAAGTTATAGAAGATTATATTTTCTATCAATAATAGAACACATTGATAAGCAAAGGTAGCAGAGTCTATAAATTTTGTATTGTGTTAGAAAACTTACAAATTCTTTAAAAACGTATTAAATAATATCTTCAATAATAACAATATATTCGTTATTATTACTTGTTATTACGCTATACTTGTGCTATATTAAGTCTCTTACATTTTCTACAGTGATGTGATCTTGGTGCCTTGTAACCTTGGCAGACGATACAGTATTGCAGATATTGTATATCTGTAACTTTATCCTGAAAACGAATCATATTAATACAAACATATTAATAGCAACATGACAATTTACTTGCTTTACTTTATATCATGAACTTATCATTAAGTACTACAATTAAAATACAACAAAGCAACTTAACAATATATTATATATATAACTTTTTGGGCCCCCCCCCCCCCAGATGGTAATCTAATCTAAAATGAACTTGATACAATCGAATCTTCTAATCTCAAATTGAGATCATATCGTTTTCAGTTTTCGTTCCTGTTGTCAATTAAATGGTAAATATGAGACAATGAGAGAAAGAAAACGGGAGGAGAAAGTAAAATGTGGACTCTTAGTCGTTTGCAAAGGAAAGGATTTACTTTAAACAGAAACAGGTTTCACGGTAAATATGCAATAGGTATATTACCGGCATCCATTTTAACACAAGGTACCCGGGTCCCTCAAAAATCGCGCTGATGAAATGAAACAGAGTCAATCCGCTGAGAGTGAAGAACAGCAAGAAACTGGCAGCCGCTGGGACACTGTCTTGCGGCGGCCACCACTGTCTGCTGCAGTGTATCGTCATCCATGTGATTATCTTTATCGTCGCTGCAACACAAATTAACGTGGCAAAAGCGGTGAGCAAAGAATTTCGTCAGAATTTCGTGCCGGGAATCTGACGATTGAATTACTATCGACGGCACCAAGTAAAGAGGAGCATAATCGAACATTTGTCAAATGTACAAAAAATTATATGAAAAATCAATATAAATGCAACAAAAGATTATATTACATTACATTACAAAGCGCACTCTGCAATTTCAATTGCTATTACTGACAATGGAAACTTACATCCGCCATTACTTTGGGATAATTTTAAACTGCAATTAACTTATCCTATTTCTTAAAGTAAGACCCTAACTAAAACTAAACAACATATGAGAAAACGCCAATGTGGGTCACAAGGCAAGATGTAGATAGCCCAACTTGTAATTTTTATACTTTAAAATGTGAATTTACACACAGCTTCTTTTCACATTTGTTCTGCGCTATACCTACATCTTGCCTTGTGACCCACATTGGCATTTTTTTCATACGTTGTTCAGTTATCCTATTTCGTTAATAGAATTACTTCTAAGACTGGCAAGTGTTTGCAAGACTGACGAATTAGTCGGTGCGTGATTCTACTTCGATTTCAGTCACGATAGGCGACATCAGTGAAAATAACGTTAGACTATTTATTGCGACAAATGTTACATGCCTCGGTGGTCGAATTGGTGAGACGCCCGCCTAGCGAGTAGGGAGGTCCAGGTTCAAACCCTGGCTGAGGTAGTTTTCGCGATAAATAAAAACATTTAAGTCATTTGGACACTAACATCCTGTCTTGGCTGTTATATCCTTTATCTTTCGAATTGCAATTTCGCGTCAGAGCCTTATGAATTTTATTGTTTAGAATTATTTATCTTCGTCGCTCGGTACACGGAGAGAAATATTAGATGTGGGGGACGATGAAATGTACAGCCAGAATTTGGCAGACAATAATCTACTGGTGAAAGAAATGACCGCTCGCTGCAACGCATCACATTTAAATCCAGCAAGACCCTTGCCATTGATTGCCCTCCTCTTTACTATCTCACTTGCAATCCCTCAATGCTTTCCTGAATTGTCTTGGCTGTTTATTTATTAAAAACCTTGGTGCGAATTTCTCTTTTTCTTCAAACGTCATACTGAGTAGTTAAGTACTCGTCTATGCTTCCTCCATCTGATGTTCTGATCTGATGTATACATATATTTTATAACTCGACTCTGTCTTATTAGACGACGATGACTTAGTATCACTCGAAAAGGACCCAAAAGAATAGGGTCGAAACGTTGTGTAATAAACCAATTAAATAACTAGCCAGTTGGGTTGACTATGAGTTTCCCGTCTCAATTCCTCCATTTCTTTCTAAACTTCTCCTCCATTCAATTTCGTTGGTGTCTCTTCGCACATCAAAGGATGAAAGATTAATAATTCCAGCTACATTACAAAACAGTCCCCGGTGGAAATATTTTACTGAAAATCTAATGATTGTTGGGGTGTGCTTAAAAATCTCTCTCCCTCTTTCCGTTTTATTATTTCGATATTTCAACAATGTTTCATTAAAAAGTAAATCCGTCTAATATTTCATAATTTTTGTATCACCTTTCAACAATCAACCCTCCAATTTTCCTCACATTTCACGGTATACATGTACATTGAATTTCATACTCCTCCAATCAAGACCCCTTTAGAGATACCCATGTTCAGTAATTTCCCAATTTTCGCCTCGATTTGCATCAATCTCATAATTCCAGCAGAATATTACCGCCGGGCGCAGTACTTCGGTTAACAATCAAGTCAATCATCTCCGATTAAGACCCGGTTTCACGAAACGTCGTTTAACTTGTAATCTTGGTTTAATTCACGCTTGTCTCTTTCTACGAGTAACAGTTGGAAAGAGACAACGAACGAATTTAAGCCAAGCTTAAACAACGTGAAACTGGGCCCAAGTTAACAATCGCTCGCGGACGCAGCCGACGGATCGTCCACGTCGACGAGGCATGTCCGTCGTGCCGTTTTCTCACTCCGACGGGACACCTGCGACGTACCGAGCGCGAAGAGCGGTCCCCAATGACATATCTTCTTCAGCGGGCCGACGCACATGTTGCCGCCTCACAGCGGTCCCGAGTGCGCCCGGTCCGGACGCCCATCGACGACCCCCCCACCCGCAGGATCGGCGACACCGGCGAGCGGCGAGTCTCGTGGCGGCAGCGACGAAACGGATCCCCGCGAAACGTGCGTCTCGTCTCGCGTCGCTGTCACGCATTCGCGTCATCGAGCGGCGCGGAGACCGCCCTGAAGTCAGCGGTGAACTCGAATCGCGCGCAGTCCTGGCAACAAGTCGACTCGTCTCAGCTGAACCTCCTGCACCCTTTAATCCTTCCTCCTTCTCGCTCCACCGTGGGGAAAGAAGGAGGAAGGATAAAACGGTGCGGGAGAAGTTCGGCCGAGAAGAACGGGCGCCTTTAAATTGGCGCTGGTGGCGACGCCGGCGGTGGCGGGGCGCGACGCATCTACTCGCGGCGAAGTTCGCGCCGCGAGATATAACCGGTTGCAGTGATCGCCGCGACGAGGTTATGTCGCCGAGATGCACCGAGAAACGAGCTCACCAGTCGCTAAGCGCCACGAGGTACTTTTACGTTTCCGCGGGTGCTATCGCTTCCGTCGGCGTCGCCGACTTTTGAATTTTAAAAATCATCGATCCCTCGCCTCGGTCCCGCCGAAGCGAGGTCGATACAGAATCTTTCTCTTACTTTACGTAGGTTAGGTTAGGTTAGGTTACGCGATTGTCAAGCCTGTCGAAAATAGATTTTTCCAATTGCGTATTACCCTGGGTCTCCGCGTTATCGCGTCCCGTTGAACTCGGCTAACTTCAGTCGAGCCCGGCACACGTTTGATTGGTGGAAAATCGACTAACGCGTAGTAACGCATCCATGGAAATCAAGGACATAACTTGCTTCTTTAGATCTGATCTATCCAAACAAAGCACAGGGACGTAAGCACATGCATAAAAAAAATTGATTGGTCTGTTTCCTTGTGCGTGCATTTACGGTCAATCAGATTCCTCGTGCATACGTTTATGCGCTGTGCAAGTTTGTCTGGATAGACCCTAAGGGCCATCGCACACAAAATTGCATCGCTGCATGTGCACAGCACGAAAACCTTTTAAGCCAATGAACATCGAGCATTGAGTCGCCATATTGATTTACACAATCTAGACGGGCTTGTGCTATGCATCAAATTCAATCACAAATCTTTTTTCGCAACGATTATACTATCTAAAGATCAATTTTCCACTAAACAGATTTCACTGCAAGGGCAATAAATTCACGATGGAAGCAACAGATGATGTCTGTTAATTTAGCAGAAACTCAGCTATCTCATAATAGGGGACTTCCCCTCAGACGTCCCTGATGGAAAAATTTTGCTGAAAACGTAATGAAATTTGCTGAAATTTGGTTGAAAATCTCTTGCAATTGACCCAATTTCATTATCATTTCAGCAATTTTTCATTAAAAAATTTATTTTCAGTGAAATTCTGCAAATTTCATAATATACATTTCAAATTTTTTTTCACTAATTTTTAGTAATATTAATTAACTTTCATCTAATTTCACAGTATTTCATTGAATTTCATAACGAAACTTATGATTTATTTTGAAATGGTTTCAACAAGTTTCCAATGACTTTCATTTCACTTTTCATCAATTTCATTACATTTTCAGCAAAATTTTTCCATCAGGGGTGTCAAGACTAAATTACAATATCGTTGTTAATTAGAAGAATGTAAAAAGCACGAACATATCCTCAATTTTAATTTGCACTGATCTTCCATCGTTTTTGAAGACGATTATAATACATTGCTATTTTGCAGATTCGCAGGTCGCCAGTGACACCACATATGCGAAGGTCTCTGAGACCAGAGAATACGGAGGGAAGCTTGAACGATAATTTTCATGGTTCATATGCAGAAGGGAAAAGAGCTGGACGACGAAATACGTCGAATCTGTCGAAAAGTGATGAATCGTCTAGAAATAATCTAGAAAGCTATGACTCATTGATGACAGACAGTTTTAGTGAGGAAGATGATGAAGTACCGTATCTTCATTTAGAGCGTTCCAGAACTGTTTCTCCAGAAAGAAATGATTATTCGGAGGCTTCAACGCTAGAGCGAAAGAAAGACAGAAAACAAAACAGAAAGAATACTGCGGAACGAAAAGAATACTCACCGGACAGAGACACCGGAGAGACTGGACAGAGTACAAGCTGTATACATATATTTTGGGTAATGATCGTCGTCGTGTTAGCTGTCCTAGCATCAAGTACTCTAAGTAAGAATCAAGTGCATACGCAGTCCGTGAGCAAATCTACCTCGCTGCTATCCGAATCGATGAATAGCATCAAGGCAACGTTTCATAGTCAAGAATTGGATATCTGGAATGATATTTCGTCCGCGATAAACGAGGTGATGTCGAGAAATCCCAAGGCACCTTCGATCATTCTGTTATTTGCGAAGGAAAGTACCGCGATGAATTGTCTAGCCACTGAATTGGCAAATGCGAGCAGCACCATTTTGCACGCAGACAGTTACCTGGTATTTAATCCGGAAGATTTTGGAAACGATGCTGGCGAGATCATTACTACATTAAACAAGCATCCTCCGGAGAAGAAGAAAGTTGTGGTGAGTATGCAAGTTTACCTGTCCCAGATGCAAATCTTGCTAAGCGTTAACTTGCGTAATCAAATAAATTTGTTGCAGCTGATCCGCGATATATTGAACATTAATGCGGAAGCAATCAAGGGATTACATAATTTATGCGATAGAGTGAACCCTTTGGTAGCAGAAGCCATTTATATTCTTACTATGCAAACTAACGATTATCAACCGTCGCAGAAAAAGCTACACTTTGTGGAAAAGCAGCTTTATGGTAAACTGTCAAAGAGCATCGATTGCGAAGTTTTAATGGCACTTGTAACGCGCATTACAGACGGAGCAATTATATGGGTGCAACCTGAGCCACAATTAAGATACTGTTAAATTTAACTTGCAAGTACATAAGTGTAATAGCGTATACAGTTGTAATAGCGCATTGATAGTTGTGTAAATAACAAAATTGTTTAATTAAAGTAAGCTCCTTTGTACAAAACTCGTAAATTTAAAAAGACAAATTCATCAAGATCGTACTCGTTTATCATCCAACTCTTCCACTGATTTACGAAACTGTTGTTAAAGAAGATCAAATGATGCGAAACGTTGTGAATCAAATTTGTGTTGGTTTCAGATATACGATTCATGCTTGTAAAATTTGGCCTTAATATTTTTGGTAGATTTGTACCTTTATAAGTTCCAATTAAAAAACAACTTGTCGAGATATATTGTTTTGCAACAGTTTTCGCAAATAGTTAATTTTCTTATCTCGCCTATTAGAATTTTCCGTTATCTGTGTAATAAAATTTATACTTTACAATAAGCTACAAGTCACGGACATTGTAGAAAGCCCATATGCGGATGAAAACTGTCAGAACTGAGAAATTAGAATGTTAGAAGTATCTTCTACGATCTTTTTCGCATTGCACATAATAAATAAATAAGCTTCTCTAGCATATATTTTTTTACTGACATGGTAATTTATTTTGTACAAAAATCAATCTTTTTTGTTCTTCAGTATTATTATACAAAGTGATTATAGTGACACTTTAGAAATCTTAATTTTTTTTTGCATCTGCAACAGTATCATGTATATTAACAGTTATGACAGTTGTGATAAAGTTGTTCGTCTCTGTGGTAGTAAATTAAGGGAATATAAGATCTATAGATCTGTTAATTTAACTTTATTTTGTTATGCCAATGTTACACGAAATAAATTTTATTTTTAGCGAGTTTTTTTCTAATCACAATTTCATATTTCTATTTTCGAAAAATATAACGACACTGTTGTACATAGCGATTTCACGCATATTTCCGAATGACATGTTTATTTAGCTTCAAAATAAAATACAGTAATCAGGATTACTTTTGTGTATGTGTGTATGTGTGTGTGTGTGTGTGTAATATTCGATATTGTGTCAGTCGGCAGTCCATACAACGATTGGAGTAATGTCGAGTATCGTATCCCGCTCATTGCCAATTTACAAGACCTTTTGCATTATAATTTTAGTTAGTTCATCAATTCGCGATATCTATAATGAAATTGTAAAATATTGTTAATACATATTCTTTATAAATATACGAAGATAACAAATTTATTAGTAAGAATTGTGTAATAAACTATAAACATTAAACAAATATTCATTCAGTTGTCCATTAACTCTAATCATTTTGCTGAGAATACCAAGGTATGTATACCAAATGTACATGTAAAATAGACTTCATCATTTGCATCAGCTTTATGCAATTTAGATAGAAAACTATTGGTTTTTTGATATGCATTCTTAATATATATGTCTTACAGATACCAAATTCATGAAATACGTACAAAAAATTCAAGATAACTGTGAAGCTATAATACACAATAGCCATTTATACTTTATTTCTACTTTAATAAATTTTTCAACGTCTTGTTACAGATCCTTGGAGGAAAAATATAATTATGATCGTTTAGACCGGTGTTCTTCAATCTTTTTGAGCAATAGAATACCACAAGACGAAAAAGTTTGTAATAAATTTATAAGTAGATACATATTTATGGGAGTAGAGAGTAGGCAGCCCCTTCGTCAACAAGTGGAGGTGGCACAGTGGATCCAGGTCTGAGTGCTTTAAGGGGCCCTGCAAGGACCCTCCTACTCCCCCCACGCACATACATATTTATAAAAACTTAACTGCGTAAATGAATAACAATATTTGCCTTACTATTAATATAAAAATAGTTAAAATTTATTTGGATAGAATAATTATGATTATATAGATTACTTTGCGTTAAAAAATGTGTAATACATATAAAAGATCGTTGGTTATATTGATTGAAAAACACTGGTTTATAGATCAATCCCTGTATGTTTCATGTAATGTATACAATGGATTCATCCATTATATACAACTTATCCCAAATTTTATGTAGAAACAACATGCTCAACATAGCGCAACTCCCCTTTTCTATATTTACGTATTACTATTTTGGTAAGCATTTTATAAATTGGCAACAAGTACCCATAGCTGCACACTTTGCTAAAGTGACATGTTAGCAAAGTTCCAACTAGTGAGCTGTAGTACAGTCGTTCTCCGTCATAATAATTCAAATCGGTAACTAAAAGTAGATAGTATATATATATAAGGTTTGTGTATAATATAGTATGGTATCGTCAAACCTAAATAATAAATACATTTCATATATACAGTCATAGACTTTTCATACAGAATGTCCAAAATCTAATTATGTGCTGTACAATTTCGTTACTATTCATTTTCATCACATGCAAATGAAGGGTTGAAAAGTATCGCGTCTGCGACAGTTTAAGAATTGAATTATGAAACGTAAGATAAAAATTATTTATTTAATACAGCTGCAAATGTTTATAATTAAGAACAAATAGTAATGGATCGCGTGATGCTGGATTAACAGAAATATAGATGTAATAACTGGAGTCAGCATTTCGCACGATTATTTAACATAAGAAAACCAAGACGTGTTTTGTACGTGTTTCAGTACAAATCATGCTTATCACAAAATTACAATAAATACTTCAACCAATTCTTATAACATTGCAATGTTGCGTTGACGGCCAGATAGGACTATTGCTTCGCTTCTTAAGGGCACTCTGTATAGAATAGCCTTTAAAATTACGAGATACGTATTTACAGTAAAAAAGTTTAATTGGTCATGTTTCTATCTAGTATAGTAAGGAGATGAGTACCGCGTTGCGTAAAGTTGTCCGTGTTGGCTACGTAGTCGCGTACTTCAGTCATTCAGTTAGTGTCTTGCACGGTAATGCAAGTAATTTTTTTTTCGTAATTCTGCGTCAGTCACATGTCAGACGAGGTATGAGTCTGCCTCGACAAATTGTTCTGATCCTTGTCTCCACTTCTACTTAAGCACTAAGACGATTATGTTTTAAAAACTGAACGTCTCATACTAAATACATGCAGGTATGAGTCTGTAAGTGTTCCTACACAAATTGTTTCAAGGCTCTAACGCAGACATTGTTGCAATTTGACATAGGTTCGAAAAGATAATTATTTCAGATCATAACGTATAGTAAGTTATGGTTTATCTCCAATGAAAAAGAAACTAAGTAAAGGTGCATGAAGATTTTTTACTGTTTTTAATTCGACAAAGAACAGATCATTTTCAATCACTGTCTAGTACTAGTTTTGACATAAATGAACTCTGCTCACAAGAATGGATATGTAAAATCATGTTTACGATTGATGTACCGATTTTCAGAATAAATTTCTGTTGAACGGATAACGTTAATCTTTAACGAAACAGCTATGTTAAGAAAGATAGTTGATTAGAATTCAAAGCCTTGCACTGGTAATTGGGAAGAATCAGGTGCAGTGAATTGGTATTCTTGTCCTTGCGAATCGATTGAAGGTACAAGTCTGGTATCCTCTTCCTCAGACCCAAAGAATCGTTCAATAATATCGAAGGCCTTCTGATAGATATCCATATTTTGATGAGATTGCAAGAATTCTATTTTGTCTAGGCCTGAAACGTTACAAGAGAAATTGATTACTACCGTGCTAATCTTCATTAATCAACATATATTTCGTATAAAACTTGTATTAAGCAGATATTTTTACCATAACATTCTTCGATAAGAACTGCGTAAGGATTAAGACCGTTATGCATAGTTGCATCTTGTTCTCCCAAACGTAAAATATTTTCTATTCCGTTCAAAGCAACTTGGACGATCTTAACATCCATAACAGTAAGCAAGTCGCAGAGCGGCGGAATACATCCTTGCATTGCGAGGTATCGAATTTGGTCGGCTGTTCCGCCACTAGTGGCATTTGTAATTGCCCATGCAGCTTCTTTGCGTGTTTTAAATTCAGCTTTACTCAAAGTCTCGATTAAAACCGGAAAGATATTAGCATCAATCACCGCCTACAAAATAGTATAGAAAAAGACGTTACATATAAGTTGTAGCTCTAATATAAAGTTAGTCTATTATATGCTGAAAAGATTGAGACATACTTGTATTTGTTGGGGATTACCGGCAGTGATATTAGAGACTGTCCAACAAGCCTCTTTACGAACACTTTCCCGTGGCGAACTCACAAGATGTAGTAGACATGGTAATGCCGAGCAATTTAATACAACTTGCGTTTGCACATCATCTCCAGTAACTATATTTCCTACAGCGCGAAGAGCCGCGCTTACCACGTTACTTTGTTCATGCCTAAACATTTTCATTAATGATTATAATCCACACATACATAAAATCAATCTTATGCATTTTAACATACATGAGAAGTTCTACGAGACGTCTGCAAACACCAGCATCAATAACAGCTTGTATCTTGTCATTTGGCCCGTCGCTCAAGTACGAAAGAGCCCAACAAGCATCGGCGAGTACATCACAATCAGTATGATTGAGAAGATGTGCTAACACTGGTAAACATGGTGCAACCTTTGCAAAAGCCGGAGCGGGATTCTTTCCTCGACAGAGATTTGATAATGCCCATACCGCGTTGCGAGTCATAGAAAGTCGTGTTGCCTTTGACAGTAGTCTAAAAAAAATATATATATATATATAATGCGATATTAAAATAAATGATCAATTAACTAGTTCTCGATATTAAAATCAACGAGCAACAATGGAAGCAGGCTCTTTGAAATTACAATATTAGTTAAAATAATACTGTTGCGCGATGCGTATATAAAGATTTGTTTAATTTTTCTTAATAACGGTAACAATTTATAACTTGAAGTTTTTTGACCGTGTCTGGCTATTTTAATGTTCCAAACTCGCTACGTTTCGACCATGAGTTTTGGTTCTTTTCAAGCGAAAAAACTAATATTGGAGACAGTGATGATCCCATTGGGCTACCAAAAACTTGTTCATAATATTTTCCGCCAAAACGGAAACTAGTGGATTCTAAGACTAATTTTATGGCGTGAAGAAACTGTTCAATGGAGAAAATTGTATTTTTTGACATATCGCACCATCTACGTTCAACTGCAGATAACAATTTACATGAAAACTACATAAATATAAAGAAACATACTGTAGAAGTGGCGTGAGGATACCGTTGGCTAAGACATGATCTCTGCATTCCGGACTATCTCCTGCAATATTACCCAATGCCCAGACAGCTTGTTCCTGCACATCTTCATATTCAGAACCAAGCAAAGATATGAAAGTAGGAACAGCTCCTGCGTCTATCACAATACGCGTTTGCTGAGATGTGCCACTGGCTATATTTGTCAAAGCCCATGCTGCTTCAAACTAAAAATTAATATTATTACTTATGTGCGTCATTGGTACAAAAGACAAGATCCTCAATGTTTATACTTATTTTCATGTACCTGCAGAGTACAATTTGTGTTATTTTTAAGAAACTCAACAAACTGTGGTACGATTCCTGTTTGTATCACTTCATCTATAGGAGGATTTGGCTCTCTTGATAATAATTTTCTAAATTTCTGTGTTGCTGCCAATTGATCTTGTATGTCAGGACTATATAATGCATCTACCATCTCGGTAGTTATAATACCAGGAGATTGCTGAAACGTGAATTTGTTTATGTAAAAGAAGAAAATTATCACGAAACAAATTGTAAAAGCGGTAAAAAATATATAACAATCAATGCAATAACTGTATTACCGATTGTGCTGTAGGAAGTGAATATTCGTCGGTGGCTGTAACATTATCTTCATCCGCAACAATGTTGGGAACATTGCGACGTTTTGATAATTGCTGCTCACGTTTCTGTTTTCTTAATTGGACTCCCTCTTCCTCTCTGCGTCTCCGCAGTTCTTGTGAATCTAATCCTACATTTTTATAACGATGTTTATGTGTAGGTCCAGTTGACATCTAAAAATACAAATTATACATTGTTACAATTGTTACTTACATTATTAAATTTTAATTTAATAACAGTTTAAGCTTTATTAAACTTATGAACATAACGCAAGGAAAACTCGTGTTATAATTCATGGATTTAAAACGATGTCATTATAATCAACCATCAGTTTTACACATTCATAATTTATTACGTCGAAACGATCAGTTTCGTTGTTAGACAAATACAAATATTTTTACACACTTGTGCATCAAAGTTGAAAATTTTCAAAAGTTGGAAAGGTTACATATTTACCAGAGAAGCATTGTAAGGCTGGTACTACATTTGTAATACGACACATTTTCTAAGTGTATTTTGGCTGCAAGATAGTAAAATTCTCGAGTATCTAGAAATTTTCCATTCAGCAGCCTATCAACACGCTTTTGAAAAATTTGTAGTACGATAAATGTAATATTAAAAATGTTTACTTATTATTACAGATTACATATATTGACTATAGCAGAACGATGCATGTTGCAACTGCAATTTTCAAGTTATTGCCTAACATTTTATCATCGATATGTCTAAAAAAAATCTTAACTCGAATCTTTACATGCTGTCTTAAATTTTTTATTTAATATTTCACTTTCTTTATTATAATAAATGAAACTTTTTTCCAGGAAGGTAATTATACAAATATTCTGAAAGTTAGAGTTACAATATTACAATGTTAGACCAAGTATGTCTATAGAAATACATACAAAGTATTGTGAAGATTATCTTTAAAAAAAAACGACTGTACGCCATACACACATATATATATTAATTTTAACTCTCTCTCTCTCAAAAAGAAAATTATGGCAGTCTTCACTCCTCAACACCAACTTTTTTCTTTACCTGAGAATATTATAAAAAATTAAATGAATTTTTTTCACACCGCTTTATTATCTTTGTAAAAAAAATGTGCATTTATTCTCTCACAACAATTTTGCCTTGCAACAATTATTTATATTGTACACGTAAACAATACTCAACAATTATTTAAGTAAAAAGACAAGACAACTTCGATCTCTTTCTCGTTTAAAAATATCTCCAAATATGCGCGCGCGCGCGAACGCATATAAGTGTGTATACGTACACACACACACACACACATACACAAATTGCCTGACGTATTAGTCACTGGTTACACGAATGCGAACGAGCGTACAAAGGAGCAGTGAAAATGACGATATTTCAAGCGGGAACCCATTTCGCTTCAGCAGGAAAGGACGTTTCGCTCTGGCAGGAAAGCTAGGAAAGATAGGAAAAACGGAGCGCGGGCAGAGAGCGAGTAGCGATGCCATCATCGACTTGTCGGTCGCCGCGATGGTCATCTGACAATGGATTCCGCGTGAGGGTTAGGAGTTAATCGACGGGCAGGATCGACGGGGCGGGGATTCAGCCCGGAGGTATCGTCCCGCGCGCGGATGATCGCGCACCATAGCTGTGTCCGGCCGTGAAACAGCGCGCGATCCGTCGCCGCCGATGGTCGCGGCGCGCGATCATCCGCTTGGACATCTTGGCACGCTTGCACGGCCAACGCGGACTGACATTGGCCTGGAATCCTCTCGATCCCTCACGGCACGTCACGCGCGCTGCGCGGCGCGTCCATTGACGAACTCGGTCCCGCATATCGGGACTCGGCCGTCGGCTCGATAGTGCACTTGGTACTTACGGCTGTACGTGCGAGAGCGAATTCGAATCCCCGGATCAGGAGTCAGGCGTAAAATATGATGCAAGTACAACGCAAAGCCAAGGCAGGCGCCGCCGCAAGAGCTCTTTCTCTCTTCGCCGTGAACTATGCTAACGATGATATAGATGGGAGATCCTAAGGTTGGCATTGGCGATGCAAAGATTCTTCCCAGCGCGACTGGTGAGCACGAGTGGAACTAACGTAAAGCGCACGATCCACACGATCAACGTCATTGGCCGCGTTCAGCAGACACAACTGTTGAGTGAGCGCCTTAGAACATATAGACATGGAAGAGGAATAGGGACTTGAAATGTGTCCGGAGGAAGCGAGAAAGAAAATCGTAGTGGAGGAAGCGAGAAAGAAAATCGTAGCTCTCTCTCGTGAGTTACTGCTCGAAAGTGCGCATGCGCGCCAACTCACACACACACACCGATGCTTGTGTGCGCATGCGCACTTTCGAGCAGTAACTCACGAGAGAGAGGCACTACGATTTTCTTTCTCACTTCCTCCGGACATATTTTTCTCTCGAGAACAATAGGCATTCCTCTTCCATGTCTATATGTTCTAAGGTGAGCGCTCACAATCAGTATGATTGGTTAATACTTTTAGATCCAGCCAATCACGTTAAGAAATCATTGAGCGCTCACTCAACAGTTGTGTCTGCTGAACGCGGCCATTGGCCTAGTTTAAGCCCGCTGCAAACGATGCTATTTTTCCTGCTGGATTGCTTGCAATCTAATAAATTACTATCGTTGCACCATTCAGCACTCAGGATTCCTAGTAATTTAGTAAATCGCAAGCATTCCAGCAGGAAAAATAGCATCGTCTGCAGCGGGCTTAACATCGTTGTTTGATACGCATTTCAATAAATAACTAGTAAATGGATTTAGCCACTGGCTGATCGGTTGAAATACACTATTTGATACGCGTTTACTAATCTCAGGGCAACTTTCACCAAGCTCCGGTTAACCCAACCGGTCTAGTAACATGCAGGATTGCAACCGAATCTGATATATTTTCTCAGATTCTCACACAGAT